AGTGTTTGATGTATTTTAGTATTTTCGCATTTGATGGATCATGATATTGATCCTTTATTTTGTATATGACCTGTATATGTTTTGTACACGTCTGTCGCTTTGATGCATGTACATTTGGGTATTCAGGCACATTATGTGATGAGGTAGTATTCAGATATGTTTACGTGTTGGATTGTATGCTGTTAGATATAGTGGCACTGAGCCAAGTTATGCATGCGCCCATGGATGGGCATTTGATTATATTTGTATAAATTGTTTATCAGGAAATGCTTCTATGTGGGATTGGAAAATCCCCAGTTATCCGATTTATAGAGGAAACTCTGCCCGATTTTCGTTTACGACGAATGAGAATTTAAAAAGAAAAAGAAAAAAAGTTAGCTCGTATTTTCAGAAGTTAAGTCTTCCGCTGTTTTCTGTTTTATCATATGTATGTTAATTGAACCGGCTCGAGACGGGGATGTTACACTTAGTGACTTGCATGACCTTTATTTTAATATCAAGAAAAAGTAAAAAAATGTAAATTCAAAAGATATATGCAACTTGGTATTGGTTTATGATTCTCAATACTTAACAGTTTCGCTTTGAATGTTGATCAACCATAATTTGAAAATGCTCAACATGTCTTAAACTTTTTTTTTTGGTTCGCCAACGCATTATGGATTCTCTGGTTTTTCTTTTCTTTTCTTTCTTTCTTCTTCTTTTGTTTTGTTTTGTTTTCTTTTTTCTTTTTTGTATTTTTTAGGTGTTGTTTCAATTTATTGTTGACATCATTGTTGTGAAGTTTGAGATTTGTTATCAGTCAGTGACATCTTTGAATTGAAACATCGTATAGTTTGTGGATTCTAACTGGTGGAATAAATAAAAGTCTGAGATTAGAGAGATTAAAGGGAAAAGACTGGTTTATAAACTTCTGGGCCAAAGATTCCGATTAAATGATTTCAATCCAAGTGTAGGAACTTTCATGTTAAACATGCCAAAATCATTCCACATTAAGGGTCTGTTTGGATGAGTTCATTTTTCTCTAAAAATTATTTGTTTTTAATGAAAAAAAAGCACTTTTCACTTTAAGTCCGTTTGAATATCTGTTTTAAAAAGAGCATAAGTCATAAAAAAATAAATCAAAAACCTGCTTTTTAAAAAAAACTAAAAATTTTAGCTTCTAAAAATGCATAAGTCAAAAGTCAAATATTTTTTTCAAAAACTAAATATTTTTATAAAATATAAATAACTTTAACTTTTACTAAAAGCACTTCTAAAATAAGAAAGAGGTAAAAGCTATTTTTTCTAGAAGCCCAAATAAACAGGCTCTAAAAACCATGTCAAATACTACTGTGAGCCTAAGTATATGAACTTTAATGCCAAACATACCCAAATAATGCCACACTGAAAAACAAAGTCAAATACTCCTACAAGCCTAAAAAGACCAGTGTTGGGGTCCCTCATACATAAAATAAATAAATAGTAACTTTCATTTCAAACATTCCCAAATGGATTTTTGAGTATCAATCAGTTAGTTAGTTGTTTTCTGTTATTCAACTTTTAGAGTTCTGTTTAGTTCACACTATATATATGTGTGAGTAGTGTAATTTATGACTCGATTCATTTTCACTCAATGAGAATTCTGCCTTCAATATTCTCTGCCTTCAATATTCTCTGCCTTCGATTGTAACATGGTATTAGAGCTCTTCGCAGAGCTCTGGTCGCCATTCTCGATTTTTCATTTAGTGTTCATAAATCTTTGACTCTTCCATTCATTTTTCTTTAGATCCTATCATATCTTTGATCTTGTCATTATTTGGAGTCCTTTCTAATGATGAATCAGAGCCCTTACCTAACGGAAAATCAAGAAACAGTAGCAGATCAGGTTTCGAGTTTAACCGCAGCTTCAACAAATGCGTCAAACGTTTTCGATGCTTCAGATACAAGTAGTCCTTAATTTTTGCATCCTAACGAGAATCCCTCCCTTATATTAGTCTCAACAATCATGAATGGTAAGAACTAACATGGTTGGGCTAGAGCTATGAAGATGGAATTGATTTCGAAGAACAAGCTTTCTTTTGTGAACGGAGCAATATCAGTTCCAGATCCAACAGATCAGAGGTATGCGGCGTGGGAGAGATGCAACACCATGGTCCTTTCATGGCTGCATCGTTCAATAACAAATTCTATCTTTCGGTCAATATTATAGATGGATAGGGCTTCAGACGTATGGAATGATCTTAAAGAGAGGATCTCTCAATCTAATATTTTCATAATCTCCGATTTGCAAGATGATTTGTATAGTCTACATAAGGTGATAATACTATTTTTGATTACGACACCAAACTTAAAATCCTGTTGGATGAACTGGACGCTTTCTAGCCAACACCAACATGTAGATGCATACACCCTTGCTGTTCAATTTCAGTAGAAGTCAAAAAGATTCGAGAAAGAGATTACTCAATTTGTTTTCTCAAGGGATTGGGTGATCAGTTTTCCAATGTGAGGTCTCAGATAATGTTAATAGATCTATTGCCATCAGTCAACTGAGTGTTTTCTATTACTCAATTTTTAGAGTCATATTTAGTTCACATCATATATATGTGTGAGTAGTGTAATTTACGACTTATTATCTAAACAGATTTTGGTTTCACGAAATGTTATTTTCTATGAAGAGCATTTTTTCTTTTCAGCGCCAAATCACTCTAAGCAAGATTTTCCTTGGCCACTCACTGTTGACTCTTCTACATTGTATGACATGCTTCCACCACAACAATATCTTGGACCTGAGCATCAACTTTCTATCTCTGAAAAATTTACTCCCGAAGATTTTACTAATATTGAGCATCAGATTCCTACTTTTGAAAAATTTATTTCAGACAATTCCAATATACCAACTTCTTTAGACGTTGACACTCATGCATCCTTGGAAAATACATCAGTTCCTCATCTTCCAAGGAGATCTACTCGTATGAGGGTACCACCCAAACACCTTTAGGATTACCAATGCAATTTAATAACTGGATGTCATGCCACCACATCTGATCAAAATTCTGGTACTTGTCTCTATCCTATCTCTTCTGTCATTTCTTATAATAAAGTTTCTACTGCATTTTCAAGATTTTGCAATAACATTAGTTCTTCAGTTGAGACACACATATTTAAACAGGAAGGTCAATCCAATGAATGGATTACTACTATGAGGGAAGAAATTGATGCTCTAAACTGTGATAATACATGGACTTTCATGTATCTACCCAAAGGTAATAAACCAATTGATTCAAAATGGGTGTAAAAAATAAAACACAATCTGGATGGCTCAATTGCTCGCTATAAAGCAAGACTTGTGGCAAAAGGCTACAATCAATTGGAGGGAGTAGGTTACTTTGAGACCTTCTCACCAGTTGCCAAACTCGCTACAATTAGACTTCTTCTAGCCATTGCAACATCTCGTGACTGGTTTTTAGAACAATTTGACATTAATAATGCCTTTCTTCATGATAATCTTTCTGAAGAGGTTTATATGTCTATACCAGAGGGAGTTTCTGCACCTAATCCTAAGCAAGTTTGTTAGCTTAAAAAGTCCCTTTATGGACTTAAATAAGCTAGTAGAGAATAGAATGTGAGATTGACCACAGAGCTAATCTCTCTTAGATACACTCAATCCAATGCGGATCATTCCTTATTCACCAAAGTTACTCGTGATTTTTTTTTATGCATTTCTGGTGTATGTTGATGACATGGTTCTAGCTGGAAACAACATGAACGAGATACAAGCTGTCAAACGGCACCTTGATAGTCTCTTTTAAATCAAGGACTTAGGTCCTCTTCGTTTCTTTTTAGTTCTTGAGATTGCCCACTCTCAATGAGGTATAGTGTTGAATCAACGAAAGTATATGCTTGAATTGTTGACTAATGGTGGTGTGATTGGTGCGAAACCTGCCTTTACTCCAATGGAAGCCACTCTTCGTCTGTCTCAAAACCAAGGAGAACCTTACCATGATGTTGCAGCCTACCATCGCCTTATTGGACGTCTCTTGTACCTAACAAACACCAGACCTGACATTTCTTTTTGTTGTACAACAACTAAGTCAGTTTGTAGCGTAGCCTATGAAGCCTCATTTTGATGCTGCTCTTCGAGTGTTGAGATACCTCAAGGGATCTCTGGGAAATGGGCTTCTCTTTCCTTCTCAGAACTCACTCATTCTAACAGGATTCATAGACGTTGATTGGGCTACATGCCCAGATACTCGTCGCTCTACTACAGGCTTCTGTGTGTTCCTTGGATCATAATTGATTTCCTAGAAATCTAAAAAGCAAAGCACGGTCAATCGTTCATTAGCAGAAGCAAAATATCGAGCATTGGCAACCTTGACCTGTGAAGTGCAGTGGCTTACATATCTTCTTCATGATCTCAGTGTTCTAGTTAATGGGCCAGCTAAAATTTACTATGATAATCAAGTAGTTGTACATTTGGCTCACAATCCCACGTTTCATGAGCGGAGCAAGCATATAGAGCTTGACTGTCACCTCATGCTTGAGAAGATTGTCCAAGGTTTGATTCATTTACTTCCAATTTCAACCAAGCAGCAACTTGCGGATACTTTCACGAAAGCTCTTCAGCTGGCTCCTTTCCGTGCCTTTTTGTCCAAGTTGGGACTCCATGATATCTACCTCCCAACTTGGGGGGGGGGTGGTGTTGAGTATCAATCATTTAGTTAGTTAGTTGTTTTCCGTTATTCAGTTTTTAGAGTCCTGTTTAGTTCACACTATATATATGTTTGAGCATTGTAATTTATGACTAACTTGATTCATTTTCACTCAATGAGAATTCAGTCTTCAATATTCTCGATTGTAACATGGATCCCCACTAAAAAAACCATTCCAAACACCCCTAACTGTTTTTGGTTCAGTTTTAATGTAACAATGACCTTGGTGCAAAATGGAAAGAAAGAGAACAAAGATCTTACAATCCTCATCTTACACAAATCCTCTAAGATTCACATTGAACCTCAGTAGTTAGGCTTCACAGCTAGATTTGCAGTCGGTTCTGTAGTTTACACTTTATACTAACAAGAAAATGCCAAGAACATAAAAGAATTCCGTCTTGAGGAAATTTGGTCATAATAATATTAGTCTCTTCAACCATTAAACTAACAACTTTCTCTACCCCATACTTCCATAATCATCTAATCAATCACCTTGAGATGTCACAATTTGAGGACTAATCTAGCTGCTCAATTTCCCAGCTTAGCTTAGGGGCAACTCTTTCGTGTTGTGGGAAATATTCCTATAATGGTGAAACCAAACCTCATCAGTTGCAGTAAATGAATGGAATCATCTTAAATTAATCTAAAAGATGCTTACGGAAAATTAAGCTACAACAAAGAAAAGATGGCCATTATTACCTCCATCTTTTTGACAAGCTCTTTTGTTGATGGGGCAGATACAATTATATGGCGAGCTTTGGGGCTAATGAAACCTTCCTCCACAGCTTTGTCAATGAAAGACAACAAGGAATTGTAGTATCCATCTACATTCAACAACCCCACCTTCCAAAACCAGAAGTTAATATAGAAATTATTTTCTCCATTAAAAAGATATAAGATGACAATTTTCTTTGGGTAATATTTTTGGAGAGAAATATTTGCTTACACTCACGTACAATTGTGGGGCCCACCAAGAGAAAGAAAAAAAAAATAGTTGCTCAATTATCAATGTGATTATATGAGTATAGAAAAATATTTCTCTTTTATGCAACTTGAGAGAAATATTACCCATTTTCTTAAGTATAATTTTGGAACATAATAGAAGTTTAGCTCTTTCTAAATCTTTGAAGAACGAGGAGGGACCTTACTGGTTTATCATGGATACCAAGCTGAGCCCAAGTTATCACCTCAAGAAGCTCCTCTAGTGTCCCATAGCCACCTGCATGCACAGAAAGGATATACATAATCATTAATTATAATTTAAAATCCAATCAACTACATGCTGTTGAAAGAATTTCATAATTTTATTTTAGTAATATTTTTTTTCTAATTTTTAATAATTATTATTATTATTATTATTATTTTTCTGAAATCTCTGTTTTTTTTTTCGGTTACAGTAATTTTTTTTTTTTTGCCTTAATTGTACATCCATACAGACATAGATAGTCAGATACAATGATGATCGTATAAATGGGCCCCTTTTGGAGTTTCTGAATTATAAGATGGGAAAGAAGCGTTCATGGGCGTTTTCTTTTTCATGGGCCTGTGAGTAATCTTTCGCAATAAATAAATAAATAAATAATTGTAGCAATTTCCCTTCTTAGGTTTTAACTTGTTAATATTTCGGTATTTTTTGCATATATTGTGAATCATGATGCCAAACCAGTAAAATATTTCACTTGACGCCAATAATTTGGAAAAATACAAAAAAGATAATATTTTTTCACTCTACTTTATGCACATTAGAATAATTTCAAAAAAAATTTATATTATCTTTTTCTATGCATACAAATACTTCAAAATAATTTATTTTTTTAAATTCCTCTATGTGGATCTCCATGTGAGTTAGTGAAAATCCTAACCTGAACTAAACTTCTATTTCTTCCTTAAAATCACGATTGAAATTTTAGATTCAATTTAATTTTGCATATGAAAATAGGGGATAATATGAGAAGTTATATTTCCTCCTATTCCCATTTTAAAAAATGAGCCACTCTTTTTTATAAAATAAAAATAAAAATTGATAAGATCCACTTTGTTTGTCTTAACGGGAAAAAGTGCTCCTCTCCTACTGTGGAAGAAATATAAAGCCCATGAAAATAACATAGAAAGTCATAAATAACCATTGTCATAAAATTTCTGTTCACATAATTTACTTAGGGCATAGTGTGTGTCATTTAAAAGGACACAAGTTGTGTCTTTTTAGTGATTTACACAGAGTATGATCAGTCATACTGTGTGTAATTCTGAAAAGATTTTTTTTTATTTTACACGTCAGCTATGTGACTGATGAAGAAAAAAAAAAAGCAACTTTTCAGATTTACACAAAATATGATCGGTCATACTTTGTGTAAATCATCTAAAAGGATACAACTTATGTCCTTTTAAATGATACTTCTTTTTTCCATTTACTAAATATAAATACCTTCCAAAAGATTACAATCCTTTTCCTAAACTTAACAAGAGAAATGTTTAATAAAAATGAGTGATGTAAAGAAAATATGATTTACACAAATAAAATTTAAATACACAAAAATTATGGTGGAGCATTTTGCTATACGTAAATGAAAATGGACAGTTGATTCTATATTTTTAAAGTTAGATCCCATCTTACAATTTTATTAGTATAATGTACAAATAAGGTAGTGTATCTGCATTCCGTAAGTTGAATAACCTCTTACGGATCATGTGGATGTTGTATGTCTATACTCCAACTATGGGCGAATTTTAATGTTCTGACATTCTTAGACATAATGATTTGTAGTTGACACGTCATATGTGCAAATTTATTGACATATATAACATTCTTAAGGCAACATTGCTTATTCAAAAAACCCACATTCATGCTAACAATAAAAAAAACTGGATAATTTGAGTACCACTTTTCTCACTTTTTAACAAAAATGCAAATGCAATAACTATAAATAATATGCTATGTAGGTAGGACCCTGGCAATTTTTAAATGCCAATTTTTATGTAAATTAAATAGTGCATAATCTTGAATAGATGTTTAATCATATATCTCTTTAAGAAGAAAAATTGGTGGAATAAGGCTGTACCAACCGGGTAAGGCAATGAAGGCATCAGAATGCTTAGCCATCACTGCTTTTCTTTGATGCATGTCTGCTACTGCCTTTACTTCCCCCACTGTCTCTCCAGTAATCTGCAAGAATGCATGGATAAGAATGGGAGAGGAGTAATGATGAGTGCTGCAGAAGTGGGCTCAAGTTGAAAAAACAAAACAAGAGACATATGAAAGAAAAGATAAAAAAGAAAAAAAAAAAGTTACTTCCTTAGTGATAAGAAAATGGGGATCAAACAAGGCTTGACATAAGAATCTAAAAAAAGGGTACATGGAACTTGCAGAGAGGGACAAAATTTTTCAGAAGGAATGACCCCAGATTGCCAGGTGTTTTGATGGATAAGTTTATTATAAAGAAACCCAAATATCATAACAATGTGAAAAGCAAGCACAAGTCCAACTTGGAACCTACATCAATCACAAAAAAAAAAAAGGGTGCAAAATCCATATATTGGGATAACAAAAGTAAGGTGGAAATTCATTAAAAGAAGAAAAGCATATACACATATTGTGGTTGAAAGGGAAAGTATATAAGATAATTCTCTCTGTCTCTTGTTCTCTGTGTCCCTCTCTGTAGCTGTTTGGTCATTTTCTTTTTTATTTGCAATGATGATTGATGAAAATGCCTCCAAACATCTTTAACATTACCTCTCTTGGCATGAGTGTCTTGGGAATAACTCTGCAGACAATATCATGACAAGAAATAGTTGAGATTAACAAAACATCCAACATAACACCACCAATACAAATCATAACCAAGAAAAATGCTAACCCAATTACATGGCGACCTCCATCATTAACAGCCTGAGAAACCAGCCCCATCAAACCAATGCTGCCTCCTCCATAAACCAAATCTATATTTCTTGACACCTTTTTGAAGATACCAAACAATACCAAAGAGGTGAATTACGGACATAACAATGCTACTCTTTCAGATTCTTTTACCAACAACTCTATTTATGTGAAACTGTGAAAGATATATGCTTTGTACAGACCATACTACAAAATACCCTTGAAAAAGCAGTGAAACTGAAATGAATTCTTTCCTCTCTTTTTTTTTTTTTGGCTGAGTAATGAACTAAGAAAGGTTGTGATTTAGATGGTGCCACAGATGAAAAAAAAAATTCCCACTTTCCTTGAGGAGCTTATGTAGTTGAAATGTGGATAAAGGAAATGATAGAAGTATCAAGGAACACCAAACAAAGGTTTACTTAAACCAAAACAAGAAGACAAAAAGAAAAAAGCCAATTGACATAGTTCAAAACCATCAATAATAAGATAAAATAAGAGAAACAAAAACACCAAAACAGTGCATGAAAAAGTTAAATCTCCAAGAAGAAAGCAGGGTTGACATTAGGAAACATTATATCAAAGAAGCAGAAACATGTTTGAAAGAGTTATCTCCAAAGAGAAGCAGAACAAAACATGAGAAAAGAGGCATTACCAACTCCTTTCCAAGCTCAATAGCAGCATCCTTATAACTGCTCTTGTTCCCGGGGCTGCTTCCGCAAAACACACAAATCCTCTTGAACCTTGATTGTTTCATCTCAGTTTCAGTCTCCATCTCCTTTCTCTCACACTTGGGTTGCTCTACCATTCCAAGGCTTGAGAATTCAGATGAACAGTTATATGCTCGTGCCTATATATAACCGTAGAAGAGGCAAAAGGGTTGCACATGCGAGGGTGCATTCTATTGTGGAGCCATTATCACATCATGAACGATGACGATTATGACTCATCCCAAGTTGTACGTTGGGGAAAACTTGATCCACAGACGTGTGTGTGTTTCTACTTTACCATGGTCCCAAAGAAAAGGAAAAAACAAAAATAAAAAATAAAATAAAATGAAAGACAGTCCGTGGTCCTATGTCAAGATCATTGTGCGTTTTTGTTTCACCAAATTAAGTATTGGAATGGAAACAAAAAAGTAGTAGAAGGAGGAGAAGGTGAACTTCTGTTTTGATGTTCTATAATACAGTTTGAAAGGGTTGGTTTGTTGATGATGTTGAGTGTTGATGTTTGTACAATTTTTATAACATTATTTTTCATATTTGGTTTGAAAATTAAATTATTAATATATTTTAAGAGTTATTAAGATAAAAAAGTAATTATAACAAAGTATAACCATGAGGGTAAAAATGAAATGTGTGCAAGTGGTTTTTTTTCCTTATTTCTTTTCTCAACATACACGAGGGAAGCCAGAGGTAATAGCATAGTTTAGTACAAAGGTTGAGTTGGGACCTTCGTTCTTTTTATAGCAATTCCCTTTTTTCTAAGATAAAACCTTTTCTTTTATCTTTTTCAAAAAAAAAAACCTTTTCTTTTATTATATGTCAACCAATTGGATGAGCAATGAGCATATAAAATATCAATGCATTTTAGTTGTTAACATCTCTGTAATTTTCTACTAGTAATAAATTGAACCATAAATTAATTGGGTATGGTATATTTACATTTTTTTTTTTAGTAATTGATCCTAATTATCTCTTTAAGGTGAATCAGACCCTCCGGTATCTCCACGGGTTCGACTCTTTGAGCCGCCTATGGGACTAATCCAGAGTTCGGGTGTAAGTCCAAGAATTACGGTACTTATGCCCTTCCCCAGATGGTGTTGGTGGGATTCGAACCGAAGTCCTTTCCCACCATTCAGTCCTCATGCTACCAACTGACCACCACACTTGGGTCAAATTTTTTATTTACAAACTACATTATGTACTACAGGTAGTACATACTGTATATACAACCTGTAGTATATAATATAATTTGTAAGAGTTTATAAATATAACTCAGTTATAAAATAATTGAGTTTTTTTTTTTTTTTTTATATATGTATCTTGGGTAGTGGTTAACTTGAAGAAGTTGACCCAGCAGTGCACTGGATAATCTTCAATTTTGTGGATGAATGTCATAGATACTATATAATCTTAACACACAGTATCAGCATGGCATGCACTGTTTGTGATGGGCTCGTGAAACCCCTTCCCACTCCACAGTTCTTCATTTGACACAGCCAGTGCTAGTTTGTCTAGCTAAACCATAGGTATCTTCATGTGAGTTGACTTTTAATTCTCCTACTTTATCACATTCGCTTCGTTTTGGTATCCATTTCACCAACTCCCAGTGTCTACCTATTTGTTCTCTGTTTTTCCCCCGAAGACAAGATATCTAACTCTCTCTCTTTTTTCTTTCTTTTTTTTTTTTTTTATTTTTTTTATTTTTTTATTTTTTTATTTTAAGTATCTTTTACGTGAGGCAATTTTATATTCGAGTCGAGAATGTTCATATATGATGAAGCTAATTTTTCAAAGAAATTTTGCATTCACAAGAATTTATACCCAAAACCTTACTTAAGCATAATCACACATGTATCATTTGAATAACAAGACATCTAACTCTAACACACGCATGCAGAGAGTGTGTGTGGGTGTGTTGCGCCATTTGCCAATTCATGTGCACGTCATGTGATACCAAAGATTATAATGTGTAAGATATAAAATAAGTGAACTCTTATACCGTTAAACGCAGACAAGATTTACATTTAAGTTCCCAATCACATGGTGGCCGTAATCCACTTTGTAATGTATGTACCCTTAACCACCTCGTTTGACTAGACAAACTTGATGCATGCCTAGGAAACTTTGGTTCTTTTTTATCACTCAGATTTTGATTGGACACAAAATACGTTAACCTCATTCCTATTGTACGTAGACTGTCCCCATTCTTTTAGACTTGCTATTGTCCTTTTAATGCTTTGATGCCTGCCATTAATTTTCAGTGTACGAGTTCTGAGTAGGGGATGTTCAACCTAAGGTGGGGATATGGAGTTTGTTAAATGGGAGAGAAACAAAAAATATTTGAGTAATCGCTTGATGAGCAAGGGAGACACTATTATATAATTGAATAAAAGAGGATATATATGAGACTTAGACGATGTGAGACTTTGTCTCATACACTAGGTTACTCTATATACTATATTTTTAACATTACCCCTCAAGTTTGAGCATATAAATCATAAGCTCCAAACTTGTTACATATGTAATTTATTCGAGGACCCTTTAAGGACTTAGTAAAGGCATCTGTTAGTTGATCAATTGAGTTGACAAATTATGTAACAATCTCCCATGATAAGACCTTCATGATGAAATGACAATATATCTTAATGTGCTTAGTTCTTTCATGAAATACTACATTAGAGGTTATATGTAAAGCAACTTGATTGTCGTAAATGAGAATAGTTGCCTTAGTGTGACCAAACTTCAGCTCCTTGAGTAGTTGTTTTAGCTAGATAAGTCACAAGTGGCTGTGGCCATAGAGAGACACTCAGCTTCAGCACTCGATCTGGCAACCACGCTTGCTTCTTACTTTTCTTGTGGACTAAGTTTTCTCCAATAAACACATAGTATCCAGAGGTGGATCTCCTATCAGTAGGACATCCTACCCAATTAGCATATGAGTATCCCACGACTTTAGTATGACCTTTGTCCCCATAGAAAAGACCCTTCCCTGGAGCTAACTTGATGCGCTTGAGAATACAAATTACTGCATTCCTGTGATCTTCACAAGGAAAGTTAAGAAACTGACTCACTACACTAACTACAAATGAAATATTTGGTCTAGTGACCGTGAGGTTGTTCAGTTTTCCAACTAATCTTTTATGCCTTTCTAGATTGGAGAACGGCTCCCACTGGTTTGGTAGAAGCTTGACATTTGGATCTTTTTGAGCATCAACTGGCTTTACATTCAACAAAGTTGTTTCCTTAAAAATATCCATAGCATACTTCTTCTAGCATATCAAAATTCCATCCTTAGACTGAGCTATCTCTTTCCTTAAGAAATATTGAAGTTTACCTAAATCTTTTGTTTGAAAGTGGTGGTTGAGATGCTGTTTTACTTGAGCAATGCCATGTAGTCATTACTTGTAATGATAATGTCGTCAACATACATCACCAAATAAATGGATCCTGAAACTGAGTGGTGATAGAACACTGAGTGGTCAGCTTCGCTCTGAGTCAAACCAAATTGTTTAATAACAGTGTTAAATCTCCCAAACCAAGCACGTGGAGATTGTTTAAGAACATATAAAGATGTGCGAAGGCGAAAAATCAAACCAGACTCCCCCTAAGCAACAAATCCTGGAGATTCCTCCATATAGACTTCTTTTGCAAGATCTCCATGTAGGAAAGCGTTTTTAATATTCAACTGATTGAAAGGTAGTGCCGGATAGCAGCCATACTCAGAAAAAGGTGAACCGATGTCATTTTCTCCAAAGGGGAGAATGTGCCCCCATAATCCAGACCAAACACCTGAGTGTATCCTGCAGTCACCAGCCGAGCCTTGAGACGGTCCACCTGACCATTAGAACCAATCTTGATAGTAAAAATCCATTTACAACCAACAACAGATTTCCTAAAGGGAAGATGAACCAAATCTCAGGTACCACTGCTCTAAAGTGCACATATTTTATCAAACATAGCTTGTCTCTATCCAAGATCAGATATCGCTTCACCTGCTATCTCAAGAACAGATACATAAGACAAAAAGGATAGGCAAACAAAATGTGATGAAGAAAGATGATGATAACGCATATTAACCAAGTACTTGGGTGGCAGACGAGAGTTACGAGTACCTTTACAAAGGCAATGGGTAAGTCAATGTCAGAGGGTGGACCAGAGCCATAGGCAGAGATGTTGATGGAGGTGAGTCCGTAGGAACTTCATTATCAATAGTGTTAGTTTACTGGGGTATGGGCGAATCTCGTGCAGGGTCATCTAAAGATGGAGAGGTATACTCAACCTGAACAGGTGGTAACGGTGTCTGGACAAGGTCACTAGGAAAGGAGATGGAGCCAAAAAAATGGCACAAACTCAAAGAAGGTAACATCAGCAGAGGTAAAGTACCGATGAAGATTGAGAGAATAACAACGATAAACTTTTTGTGAGCAAGTATAACCCAGAAAACACATTTATGGGACTTGGCAGACAATTTATCACGACCGGGACTAAGATCATGAACAAAAAAAGTAGAACAAAAAATGTGAGGGTCAATGAGTGCAGCGGTTAATGAGGAAATAAGATAGAGTGAGGTATCTGATTATAAGGATAAATGAGGGCATGCAATTAACGAGAGATACATGCTGGGAGGACAACATCTTCGCAAAATTGGAAAGGGATATGACCATCTAGTAAAAGGGTATGATTGGTTTAAATGAGGTGATAGTTTTTGCGTTCAGCAAACCCATTCTATAAAAAGGTGTAGGAACAAGATGTTTGGTGAAGGATGTCAAGAGATGCAAAGAAAGTTTGAAATTGATGAGATAAATATTCACGAGCAATATCACTATGAAACATGCAAATGGAAACACCAAATTGAGTAAATATTTCATTAAAGAACTGGTGAAAAGGAAAAATAATTCAGACTGATTTTTCATTAAGAATAGTTATGTACATTTGGAATAATCATCAATAAAACTAACAAAGTACCTAAACCCCATAGTGGATACTGTACGATTAGGACCCCAAATATCTGAATGAACTAAAGCAAATAAAGACGAAGACCGATTACTGACTTGATCGGGAAATGAACTACGAGTGTGTTTTCATAACTGAAATAACTCATATGATAAGTTGGGTAAAGTAAAGAAACACAGTACTAACTTTTGAAGTTTACCAAGGCTTGGATAACCCAAATGAGCTTGAATAGTAAGCGGAGAATCAACAACGGAGCACACTTAGAAAGATGTGGAAAGCTGATAAAGATTGTTGGACTCAGATCCGGCACTAATCATCTTCCCAGAGCTCTGGTCCTGCAAAATCACAGAGTTTTTAGTGAAGAAAATAGTACAATCAAGATAATGAGTTAATCGACTAATGGAAATGAGGTTGAAAGGAGAATTAGGGACAAAAAACACATTATCAATAGATAGAGATGGAAAAAGTAGAACTATACCAATCCCACGGGATTGAACCAACGAACCATTAGCCATGGTGATAGTGGGTAGGGAACCGAATGTAGAAAGAGCAGTAAATAGGGACTTATTATCATAAATATGATTAGATGCACCAGAGTTGAGAACCCAAGGACCGAAAAATTGCGACTGAGTGAGACCAGCAAAGGAATAATTACCCGTATATGCAACAGAGGCAGTGGAACTGGGGACATGATGCTTTGCATACCATTTCATAAACTCAGTAAAAATAGCCAAAGGTGGTGCAGCAGATGACTGAGAATCAAGAGAAACTTGTGCAACCTGAACCAAGCAGGGAACGCGTCCATGAAGGTCCCAACACCGATTAATAGTATGACCCGACTTGTTACAATGAGTGCAATGAGGATGACCCTTGGAAAGTTTGCAGCCACAACCAGAACCCTTTGAGACAAGTGTAGAGGAACCAGTTGAAGTGTAGAGGAATTTGCCGGTGATAGGGAAAGAGCCACAGGTTCAACAGGGTGCTTAGGCAGAATTCAAAGTAAAGTAGACCAAACAGAGGTCAAAGTCAAGATTGTGGTAGAGCCCAAAATCTGATCACGGTTGGTAGAGTATTCTTAAGGCAACCAATAAATGGTCAACAACATAAAAAAGGTGTTTTGTTGTTCAAGTTCTATAGTACGATCCTCAGCTGGGGGCAGAAGCTCATTAAAGTCAGGACTAGGCCATGAACTTTCCTTAAGTATGCAGACATAGGGCCATCAAACACAGCAGTGATATGACATCCATCAAGTTTTTGCAAACACCATAGAGACTTATGTGTCATTAGTATACAATTCCTTAGCCTGACGCCAAATAGATTCACATGTAACATGAGCATGAAAGATCTGCTTAAGGGAAAGGTGGATAGTGAATTTAATGATACTGCATATTAGGCATCAATCTTCTTCCACTTAGGACACAATGCAGCAGTTGCAGATTCAACAACAGCGATGAGACGGTCAATGTAATCATGTCCCTCAAGCCAAAGTTTAATGTCAGATGCCCAAAAATTATAATTAAAATTATCCAGTTTGTCCATGCATAACGGAGCAAGAACATAATTGCTAAAAATAGGCCCCTCAGGCTTTTGAACATCAAGGGATATGTTATCGGAGAGGGTCAACCATGGGTAACCGATGAAGATAGAAAATGCATACTAACAGCACCACAGTGAGAAGGCAGTCTGATTGATGGGTGGCTTGCTAGAAAAATGCTCCTCCACGGTGGTTGACGGTGGCTAGCGATGGAGATTTGCCAAAAAAGTGGCTTACGATGATTGGTTTCTGAGACGGTGGTTAGTAACTAAAAACAATGTCGGATGGACGTTTATGATAAGGGACACGAACCCCTTCAATGGAAATCAATTGGGAAAACAGTGGAAATCAGGGAAAAACAAGAGAATAAATCTGAATCTATTTCTTTGAATGAATACTTCTGGTTTTTTGACTCACATTATAATACCCTGATCCCAATACACCCATCGTTCCCCTCTTAAGCCACGTAGGCAAACTTACAAATTAACAACAACTCATCAACATAGTCATTTAGCTAATGGGCCTAGTAAGCACAAAAGTCCTTGGCCCAAGAAGGGCCCCCTGCTACTCTCCTTGACTTGGGCTCCTGATCCACTGTTGTATCATTCGCCCTTGCTTCAGAAGGAACCTTGTCCTCAAGGTTCTTTGCTTGCAAACAAAATTCTGGATAGTGTGTTATAAGATCATCCTCAAATTCCCATGTTGCATCTTCAGGAAGAGAGTGTGACCATTGTATCAACCATTGCTTACGAACACCAATTGCATCCTGCACTTCTCGTGACATCAAGGCTGAAAGAGGAACCTGAATGGGTAGGTTGTTATGACTAACCTCTGGTAAAGGTATGGCAACCACAACACCATCTCCACGGAAACGTTTGAGTGAAGATATATAGAAGGAGGGATGGATACGGCAACCATAAGGGAAACCAATTGTGTATGCAACAGGACTCAAGACTCTGACTATTGGAAAAGGTCCAAAGTATTTCTTGCTGATTTTCTGGTTTTTACGATAAGTAACAGAAATTTGCCTATAAGGCTGCAACTTCACCAACACTAGATCTCCAACAGCAAACAATTCATCCTTCCTATGTTTGTCAGCATTATTCTTCATCCTATTTTGAGCACCTTGCAATTGAGTTTTCAACCGCCTCAACAACTCATCACGGTGAGATAAAGTAGCATCCACTGCCTCCACCCTCACTGATCCTCTTGAATATGGTGGTATCATAGATGGAGGCTTGCCATACAGAGCTTGGAATGGAGCCATACCAATAGATGAATGAGTGGCAGAGTTGTAGTGGTACTCTGCCCAACCTAAGAAAAAAGCCCATTTATGATTCTCATCATGACAAAAGGCCCTTAGATACTGTTCTAAATATCTATTAGTAACTTCAGTCTGCCCATCTGATTGTGGATGGTAGGCTGTGCTTGTTCTCAATGTTGTCCCACTGCACTTGAACAGCTGAGACCAAAATTGGCTCAAGAAAACAGAATCCCGATCAGAAACTATGGTCCTAGGAAATCCATGCAACTTGACCACCATCTCACAAAATAAGGAGGCCACCTTTGCAGCTGTATAAGGATGAGACAAGGCCCCAAAATGCGCAAATTTAGTCAACTGATCCACTACTACTAACATGACATTAAACCCTTTAGAATTTGGTAGCCCTGTAATGAAATTCATGCTCAAATCTGCAAAGACCCCTTCGGGTATAGGTAAGGGCTGGAGTAACCCCAATGGAGGAGTAGTGGCAGTTTTCACCAACTGGCAAGTGGAACATTTTTTGACAAACTCTTCTACATCTTTTCTCATGCCAATCCAATAAAAAGAAGCAGAAAGTCTAAGCAAGGTACGAGTAATTCCTGCATGCCCCCCATAGGTGTGGAGTGTGCCTCCCTCAGCACAACTTGCATTAATTCAGAATTAGACCCCAATAAAAAACGATTTTTATGATACAGGATCCCCTCTATTTCAGTTATATTAGAATGTCCTAATGCATTATTTTGCAGCTTCAGCTTCATGCTAATCAACTCAGAATTAGAGAGGTTCTCACCTCTAATTTGATCGACCAATTGAAAAATAGGTGCAGAGATTAGGGAATAAATTGTACCTGGTTGTTCCCCCTCATGTCTTCGAGACAATGAATCTGCCACTGTATTGGCTGCCCCTGGTTTGTATTCGATTGTAAAGTCATACCCCATCAATTTGCATGCGTACTTTTGTTGTTCTACAGTCTGAACTGTTTGTGTTAACAACTCCTTCAAACTACGGTGATCTGTTCTTATGATAAACTTAGATCCCAAGAGATAATGTCTCCATTTCTTCACAGCCTCTGTCACTGCAAATAATTCCCTGACATATGTTGAGGCTGCACTCATTCTTGGACCAAGTTTCTTGCTAAAGAAAGCAATTGGCCGATTATACTGTTGAAGGACAGCTCCTATGCCCAAGGATGATGCATCTGTATCAACCACAAATGGAACAGAAAAGTCAGGTAAGATTAAAACTGGGGTCTGTGACATGGTTTTCTTTAATTCTTCAAACGAAATCTCAACCTTCTCACTCCACAGAAATGAGTCTCCCTTTAACAAATCAGTCAAAGGGGAAGCTATAACTGCATACTGTTTAATAAACCTCCTATAATATCCTGTGAGTCCAATAAATCCCCTCAATTGCTTCACATTTCTTGGTCTTGGCCATTGTAGCATAGCCTCAATTTTTCTGGGATCTGCCTTAACTCCCTATCCAGAAACCAAATGACCAAGGTAATCGATTTCTTCCAATGCAAATCCACATTTGCTAAGCTTCACTCTGAACTGGTTCTCTTGCAAACAGCCCAGGGCCACAGAAAGGTGTTCATAGTGCTCTTCTATAGACCTACTGTAAATCAAGATATCATCAAAGAATACCGTAATAAACTTCCGAAGGAAAGGCTTAAACATATGGTTCATAGCCGCTTGGAAGGTGGAAGGAGCATTAGTCAACCCAAAGGGCATGACTAGAAACTCATAATGACCTTCATGAGTTCGGAAGGTTGTTTTGAGAGTGTCTTCTGGTCTCAACAAAATCTGATGATATCCACTGCGCAAATCCAACTTGCTAAATACCCTTGCCCCATTCAACTCATCCAATAGCTCGTCGATAGTGGGGATTGGAAAACGATCCCTGATTGTAATTTTATTCAACGCACGATAATTAATACACATTCTCCAAGAGTCATATTGCTTCCTCACCAACAAAACAGGAGATGAAAAAGGACTCCTACTCTCCTTAATTAAACCAGAAGCTAACAAGTCTGACACTTGCTTCTCAATCTCCCCTTTCTGGTGATGAGCATACCTGTACGGTCTTACACTGACAGGTTTAGCTCCCTCAATTAAATGGATGGCATGATCACAACCCCTGGTTGGTGGCAGCCCTTGGGGTAACTGGAAGACAGGATGGAAACGCACCAAAATGTTCCATATAGCAACAGGTACCTTCGGTTTCCACTCCATCAGTTCAGGCACTATCCCAGTTGCATTATCACCTTGCATGTAGTAACATTGCTGGTCAGGTGGTCCCTTGGCTTCACCAAACCCTTCTCCTTTTAAAATTACTCTACCATCCCTGGTCATAAACTCCATCGTCAATTCTGCATAATCGTGAATGACTCGGCCCAAACTACTCAGCCAAGAAATTCCCAATATCACACCCAAGTTGGATAATTCAATTACCCAAAGATCAACAGCAAAGGCATATCCTTGAATCTGTAAAGGAACAGATAAACACTTCCTGTCACATGTTAAAAACTCCCCATTCCCTAAGAATACACGCATCTTAGGGACCTTCACTGTTGGCAATCCAATGCTGTCCACCAATTGTTTTTGTATAAAATTGTGGGAACTTCCCGAATCTACAAGAATGGCCACTAACCTGCTTCTAAAGTGCACACGAAACTGAAGTGCTCTAGGATTACTTTCACCCTCAAGGGAATGCAAGGCAGCTTCATTAGAATCCTCATGAGTTGCATCTGTTTTCCACACAATTTGCTCCTCCGCAACTTCATCAGTCATTGACTCTTCAGGTTCCCCAACCAGAAGGAAGAGCTTGCCCTTGCAACGATGTCGTGGTGTCCACTTTTCATCACAAGTGTAACAAATTCCCAAATCCCTCTTTTTTTGTAAATCTTCATGAGAAAAACGCCTAGCCGGTGCTGTTGAAGGAAACGCTGGCACTACAGGCTTCTGACTTGAACCACTTGATTGGAGTGGTTGTGGATACTCCACAGAATAAGAACCCTTCGAAAAATTCTTCTTAAACCCACTCGATGAGAAGGATGAGCGCAATTCCACAAAATGAGCATCATATGTGATCGCTAGTTGCATGGCCTGATGCAATGAGGTTGGAGAATGCAACTAAATAGCCCTCCTCTTAAACCCACTCTCAATGAAAGCACCAATGATAAGGGACGCGAACCCCTTCAATGGAAATCAATTGGGAAAACAGTGGAAATCAGGGAAAAACAAGAGAACAAATCTGAATCTATTTCTTTGAATGAATACTTCTGGTTTTTTGACTCACATTATAATACCCTGATCCCAATACACCCATCGTTCCCCTCTTAAGCCACGTAGGCAAACTTACAAATTAACAACAACTCATCAACATAGTCATTTAGCTAATGGGCCTAGTAAGCACAAAAGTCCTTGGCCCAAGAAGGGGCCCCTGCTACTCTCCTTGACTTGGGCTCCTGATCCACTGTTGTATCAGTTTATGGAAGAAATATCAAAAATTAAGAGGACGACACGATTTTCGAAAAAAAAAATCTATCATTGACGGTAATAGGTCTATCGGGTAGGCATAAATTAGGATTTGTTTCTCGTTAGGCTCTTGATATCATGTTGAATGGAAAAGAAACAAGAATCATATGAGTAAACTACATGCTTTAGAGAGTAAACTACATGCTTTAGATGAGTGGCAGAGACACTATTATATAACTAAGTAAAAGAGGATATACATGAGAATTAGACGAAGTAGGACTTTATCTCAGACACTAGGCTACTCTATATACTATATTTTCAACAGAGTTATTGTTATTTTCTCAAATCCGGATAAAACCCTTTTTTATCCCATATGTTAACACGATATGCATTTTAATTGTCGGGTCAACGGGTAGATCAAGACGAGTTTTGCCAACCCCTACGGCAGTTGCTTAAGTGATATGAAATTTTTGTGATATAATGAGATTGTGGATTCAACCTCAGATCAGGCCCACTGCACCTGTGGAGAACGCAAGTATACACACGAGATGTTTTAAATTAGGGTAATACTTTTTTTATGTTGCATAAGAGAATTATTATCTCCTACCCAAACAATAAAAGGTGAGAGAAATATTTTTTGTGGGACCCAATTAAAAAAATATGAGTGTAGGAGATAATATTTTTTTTATGCAATATAAGAAAAATATTACCCTTTAAATTATATGTACATCAACACCAAAGTATTTAATAACTTTATATGTATTTATTGAAAAAAACACTTCTCATGATGCATGAGAAGTGTTTTCTTATGTTATGATCATTCGATTTACGTGTAATTTTTTTTTTCTTTTTAATAAATATAGGACTCATTACTAGAGTCACAATATGAAAAAATAATTTTCAAATAATATGAAAAAATCAAAGCCCATATTTATTTATTTATTTATTTATACCAAGACCCTTTCTTTGTTCCCCATGTTTTACATGTTTTAAACTGTTTTCGATCAAATCACTTGCTCTGAAAGATGGAATAATTAAAGGGTTTTGTATCTATAATTTAACATGACCACAACAATTTTCTTACATACACACAACATTTTGTGGGACCCACAATTTTTGAAACCAAAAAAAAAAAAAAAAAACTCTAGCACGCAAAACGAATCTCTATAACATAACACAATCACTTTTCCTACAACATAACTCTTATTAAACCCATAATTAAAATATGAAAGTTCGGATGGTTTCAGTTTTGTCAATTCTTCCGCGCAATAAGAGATGTTGATGAGCTTGAGCTTAAGAGAGAACAGATAATAGTGGATGCGTACTTCACTGACACCAATATTGCTATGCTCTATATATTAAAAGGATAGATAGGAACAAGCATGTGCTGTCCCCTCCCAGCCATTCTTTTGTGGAGAACATTATGGGCTGTGGTCACGTAGTCCTATCAGACAGGACCATTTCCATTCTCCAATGCCAATAACAAATCGACGCCTATATAACCCCACGACTAAATTTGGTGCATTGGTTTCACAAAATTTAGAATGTTTGATCTGTCACAAACTCAACTATGATATTTATCCTTCCGTCAATATAAATTATCTCACATGTTATTTAATATAATTATACTATATAGGACGATTCTAATTATATAAGGATAAATTAATAATGATAAGAGAAGAGAAAAAAAATATTAGGATAAGAAATTATAATATTATTATTTTTAATTTGTATATTGATGATTAAGATCCCTCATATAATATTGTTATATTAAATAATAAATGAGAAAATTAATTTTTCTCATATTAAATAACACATGAGAGAGTTAATTTTTCTTATATTAAATAACACATGAGAGAATATAATTCTCTTATTTTATGACAGAGTCAACTCTTCATTTTATGACAATCAGTCAAGTCTTTTGACTAGGTTAATCAATTAGCTATGATTTAAGAAGATTGTGCTTATTCCCATCACTCATGAGATAAGATGTCAGGCATTATGTTGGGTCAATAATAGCTTTCAATCCATAACTCCATTCTTTGTTGGGGCAAAGCATCACAACAGCAGTTTATTAAATAAATATGTTCAGTGAAAGAAAACGGGTTGTAATTTAATGTGCTCGATTTGTGGTATGCTAGATTAAACGGAGGTTCAATCCAATAATAGCCCAAAGGTTTAAAGACAGAGAATTAACCAGTAAGGAAATACATATATAACACGTGCATGCAATTCCGGGAGTGCGCAACTAAGCTTGCAGCAATAGATGACTCATAAGCATTCTTAATAACTAACAACTAAAGGACAGATATGAGATTCTGACCATGTCTAGACATTATAATTCACTAAGAGGTATCCTATGGACTAGACAGGTTGACAAAATCACCATAATCTATTCATTATAGAGATTCGTCATATTAAGGCAGCATATAATAAGACAACAAGCATATCATACCACTATTATAAAAGAGAGGTTCAAAATCTAAATATGATTATCTTATTCCAATATATTTAAACTCATTAATTAAATATTAACTTAAGTGTAAGGATATCTTGCAGGTACCCACACCCTTACATGTTCCAGCCAAGCCACATTAGAGTGTCATTAGAGTCGTCATCCCATAGATATCCTTCTGTGTGGTAAAGCAGGTGATCCCATAAGAACAACCTATCAAATCGTCAACTTGGACGGACTCAACCGCGTATAATGAAATCCAACTCCTTGTGAACTGATCAGTTTTGTTAAATATATCTTTCATCAAATTAAATACGTGAATAAAGCTAGAACTACTCAAGTTTGGTAGTAGAGAAATCATTAGTCAAATCTGGATTGCATTAATATATTATATTTATTTATGCCTAAATTCTCTTTGGGGGATGGAAGGAGCGTTATGACTTTTCTTTGCCTTGTTTGTTTTGAGTTGCATAGATGTGTGAGCAATTATAAATGAATAATTGAGTTCCATAACTAAATGGTGGGAATCCTACTCATTTAATCATCCACTAGTAGGTTAAGACTTAAGAACCTACATTTCCTCTTTCTATTCTTCCTATGTGGGTTTGTGCCACAAATAAATAGAAATATTCACGTTCATTAAAATATGCCTTAGATAATGTTAGGATTAATACGAGAACATATGCTATTTTTTGGCCTCCACTACCACAAGAGTGATTAAAATATTCAGGCAAAACGACCGTACTACAGTAAAATCTTAAATGTATTTCCAGAAGATGATATATTTGAAAAGATTGGCTATTGTAGAGCAGTCAACCACGTAAGGTTGACTGCCGAGTTCAGTCGCGCCAAATAATATAACGGCACCGCGTGCCATGTAGACTACGCATAGCTGTCGCGCCATTCCAGATGACGCCTTGTGGACCCGTCAACATGGGAGCCGGAACTTATCCCGCTAGCAACAATGACGCGTCCAGTCAGCATTGAAGCCGTCAAGCATGGTGACGTGAATGGCTTAATCGAACTCCATTATTCACAAGAGTTGAAATGTGAGAGAATTTCAAAAGGAAAAAAGCCTTCCGTCTACGACAAAAAAAATTAACAAAGGAAGAAAAACAATACAATAGGACGGTGTGTCAATTACCTGTCAGCCATCTTCACGGGTTGTGTTTGATAAGGGAATATATTCTTTGGTTCTTTAATCCCATCAACCATTTGCGCAGGGAATATATTCTGTAATCCTGTCATCCATATTAACGGGTTATGTTGAAATATTATTGAACCACCTTTAATTCTGTCAGCCATATTGACGGGATAGGTCCTTAATATTACTGTTGACGGACGTATGGGAGGCAGGGAATATATTCTGTGAAATCCCGCTACTTCCTTGACGGCACATGCTGTCCGGTTATTATTTACAGACACAACTAATGTGCACACTGACAACAAATATTTTTTGGTTATATATAGTAGCCTCCGAGGTTGCTGAATGCGTAACAATTTGGTGTTTCTATTTTTGCGTATGAGACTAACCGTTTCTTGATTTGTATTTTCTTTTCTATCACTTCTTGCAATGTTTATTTAAATATCTGTTGTGGGTTTAGTTATTTTGAATCTCTCCACTATTGTCCTTATTTTTGTGTATTATTTGCATAAAAACACAATAGTAGAATGGAACAATATCGTACATTTGTATATTACAATGGTTCTAAAATTAATGGTGTAGGCGGTTTGAGCTTTGAAGGAGAAAAAAGAGCAATGTATATTGTTCGAGGCTTGTCCATTGAAGATCTACTTAAGAAGATTCGTCTGAAGTTGAAGTTGCAACAAAATCAGGTAATATCTTCAATTACGGGTAGAGTCCCATGTGGAAATCGCAAATATACAGGTTTTGAAATAACTGATGATGAAGAGATTGATATTTTTCTTGGAACATTTGTCCAAAATGCTACTACGTCTCAATTTGTTGAGTTATACGTGGATATTGAGACATCAGAGGAACTGTCAACACCAATACGTGGGCTGGACCTTAACAGTCAGACACAATTTGTATCTACATCGGTACCCCAACCCACACAATCAACTGTTGCGGATGGAGAAGAAAGCGACTATAATGTTGAACCTGACAATGATGAGGATGAGGACGGGGACGAGGACGAGG